CAACATCACAGACACTTTCACACTACGCCTACGACTGGAAACGGATTTCCTAGTGCTTTTACTCCACAGAGTATTAATTGTTTTGTCTACAGATCCTTGGAGCAAAATGAATGTTCTAGTGACGTCAAAATGAACGCGTTTCTATGTGCTGATCGCGCCAGATAGGAAATCCAGATTATTATAATCAATGTTGGAATGCATGAATATTTGTTGCAAACCATTTGTTATTGGTTCGCCACCATCACTGAACACAGATGATTATTTCTCAACCATCCTACACAATTCCGTTTCGAGTCTGTATTTGTCATACTAATCTTGAAATATGTGAACAGAATATAGTCTGCTTTGAATTCTGCCTACCGTTGACTACTTCACCTATTGAATAATGTATGGTTAATAAGGTGGCTCTTCATCTCAATTTAATTTTAGCGAGCGAATGCTTGCCATCAACCATGTAGACTGTAAAGCTGGGTCAAGATAATATCACTTTGCCTTGCATGTCTTCCAATTTCTAACTGAAATTCATGAGAGGAATAGCTGTATAAAGCAGGTTAACATATGAACACAAACAAACGATCTCTCTCTCTCTCACATCATAAATGACACCAAGTCGGCAGGTACCTAGTTTAGAAGGCCCAATCATCAAAATCGCCTTTATCAGGAAGAGTCGTTTGTGTTGATCGGTAGTAACACAAAACATATTATTATTATATTATTGCTCCCTTGGGCTCCTAGTGGAACATAGGGCTTCAACTGCACGTCTCCATTTACTTCTGTCCTTCTGCTGTACTTTTCGCCTGCATCCATGTTAGTCCATATTCTTTCAACTCCTCTTCACACGATCTCCTCCATGTCACCCTTGGACGTCCCACTCGCCGCTTCCCTTTCGGGTTCCACTCGAGGGCTTGACGCGCGATGTCACCCAGCGGTCTCATCAGCGAGTGTCCGATCCATCTCCACTTTCTCCTGCATATTTGTTGGGCGATCGGTTCTTGCTTTGTTTGTTCCCATAATTCCTTGTTGGTGATTCTTTCCGGCCATCTGATCTTCAGTATAGAGCGAAGACAGTTGTTAATAAAGGTCTGCAACCTTTTGGAAATATTCTTTGTGACCCGCCAAGTTTCTGATCCGTATAGAAGAACTGACTGACGACGTTTGTATTGAAAATCCGAATTTTGTTGTTGATGCTGAGTGACGAAGATTTCCAGATTGATTTCAGGCTGATGAATGTGTTTCTCGCCTTCCCGATTCTCGATTTGACATCCTCGTCCGCTCCTCCTGTAGTTGAGACAATGCTCCCTAGATAAGTGAATGAAGTAACCTCTTTCAAATCCCTCCCGTTGATGGTGATTGACGTTGGATGTTGTTGCTGTTGTTGTTGGTTGGTTATTTTCATAACCTCCGTCTTGTCTATGTTCACCTGGAGTCCTGTCTTCTGCTGCTTCTTCGACCAGTTTGTCGGTTTTCGCTTGTAAGTCTTCGATTTTGTGTGACATCAAACACAATTCATCCGCGAAATCCAGGTCTTCTAGGTTCTTCACGTCGGTCCAGGATATTCCTGTCTTCTCGTTTCCCACTGTCTGACGCATAATACAGTCCACCACAATTAGGAATATCATTGGTGATAGTAAGCACCCTTGTCTGACTCCTGTGTTTACTCCAAACGCCTCGCTGAGTTTTCCGTTGTGGATCACTTGACATGTGCCGTTGTCGTACAGCTGTTGAATAAGGTTGATGAATATTTGGGGTACACCGTAGTACTCGAGTAATTTCCAAATTACTTCGGGATCAACGCTGTCGAAGGCCTTCTCAAAGTCTATAAAGTTGAGGTAGAGGTTTGATTGCCATTCCATGCTTTGTTCGATGATGATGGTGCGTAGAGTTGCAATTTGGTCAGTACATGATTTGCCTTTCCTGAATCCAGCTTGTTCTGGTCGGAGTTCTGTCTCCAGTGCGTCCTTTAATCTCTCCAGGATGATGCGACTCAGGATTTTACTTGGCGTCGATAGGAGCATGATTCCTCGCCAGTTCTTGCAGAGTCCTAAGTCGCCCTTCTTTGGTAGTTTCACGAGGTAACCTTTCCTCCAGTCAGTAGGCACCTTTCCCTCCTTCCAGACCTTTTGCAATAATGGAGTCAGCATGTCTGCTGTAGTCTCTGGGTCTGCTTTCAGTGCTTCAGGGGGTATTCCATCTGGTCCGGCTGCTTTTCCAGCTTTCAGAAGCTTGATTGCATTCAAGACTTCAGCTCTCGTTGGAGGATTGGTGTCAACTTGCAGTTGTGTGTGCGCTGTTGTTGGTATTTCTGGACGGGTTGCAGGTGGTGGTCGGTTCAAGAGTCCTTTGAAGTGATCCGCCCATTGTTTAATCTGTTTTTCTTCCTTGGTAATGGGCTTCCCTTGGCTGTCTTTTATAGGTTTCGCTTGTGTTGGTCTCTTCCCGGATAGAGATTTGGTTATCTGATATAGTGTCCTCAGGTCCCTTTTGCCTGCTGCCTTCTCAGCTTCAGTAGCTAGATTGTCGTAGAATCGTCTTTTGTCCTTCCTAGCACTTTTCTTCACTTCTTTGTCCAATGCTTTGTAAGTTGAGCTCATCGTCTCCTTCTCCTGTCCGTCCTTGCATTGAATCATTTTCTCTTTCACCATTCTCCTCTCTTCTATTAATTTCCAAGTGTCCGTTGAGAGCCATTCCTTGTCTTGTCTCTTCTTTCTTCCTAGAACCGTTGAACACGTTTCGTTGAGAATCGCCTTCAGAGACTTCCAATGTTCTTCCACGCATGATTCTTCAGTGATGTCGCGTAGTGTTTCCTGCTTTGCTCTGACAGTTGCAGTGAAGGTGTCTTTTGTGGTTGTGTCCTTCAGTAATTGAGTGTTGAACTTGCATTGTGGCCTATCCCCAGCTATCCTCGAGGCTTTTAGTTTCACCTTGAAAGTCCCTTCTACTAGATAGTGGTCTGAACCCACATCTGCTCCTCTCCTCGACCTTGTGTCCAGTAGGCTCCGTCTCCACTTTCTTGAAATTGAGATGAAGTCTATTTGTTTCTTGGTGTTTCCATCTGGTGAAATCCATGTCGTCTTGTGTATATCCTTGTGTTTGAACACACTACCACCAATCACCAAATCATTGAAGGCGCAGAAGTCTGAGAAGAGTTCACCATTGTCGTTCATTTCACCGAGGGCCTCACGACCCATGGTGAGTTCTCTTCCTGTGTTGTCTCGTCCCAGCTTCGCATTCATGTCGCCCATCAGGATTTTGATATCGCCATTTGGGACGTTGTCCATTATTGCTTGTAGTTGTCTGTAGAACGCCTCCTTCTTCTCTTGTTCTGAGACGTTTGTAGGCGCATAGCATTGAATGACTGTAACTTTCCTTCCTTTTGAGTTGAACCTGGCTGTCATTATCCTGGAGGAGATTGGTTCCCACTGCATGAGAGCTTTGGCTGCTGTTGGTGACATCATGATGGCCACTCCCTCGGTGTGCTCGTGGTTGTCCTCTGGGTGGCCGGAAAAGATTACTGTCTCTCCAGTAGGTAGTTGGCACCTTCCAGTTCCGTTCCATCTGCTTTCGCAGATTCCCAACACTTCTATTCTGTACCTTCTCATTTCAGCGGCTATCTGGGCAGCCTTTCCAGTTTCGTACATTGTACGAACATTCCAGGTACCCATCCTTACTTTTGCTTTCATCGAAAGAAGGCACATCGGCTGACTGGCTTCTCGAAGGCTTTCACCAGCCTGCGTCATTTCACTTCCCCGATTCCAGCGAAAAGTAAGGCTATTGTTTATGTTTTTAGAGTTTTTAATATATTTATTCGTTGAAGTTTCTGTAGCGATTTGGTTGTTTTACAGGGGTGGAGTTGCTAGCACCACGCCCCAACCCTCCCTCTTTACCCGGGCTTGGGACCGGCGAGAAAACTAGCCTAGCAAGCTAGTATCTGGCGAGGTTAACACAAAACATAACTGGGTCAATATGATGGATACTCTGTCAATCTTTGATGCCTGTATTTTGGACCTAGTTTTTGGTGTCAAATTGATGAGGCAGTTGCGGTTTGAACATTTTGAATATCACAGGGAAACTACAGTAATTATTCACAACAAACCGCATATTTTAAAAGTGCTCAAGCCGACTCCACACGTCACCGCTTTCACCAAGTAGCTAGTCTTTATTCCTGTAGTTAACGTCACTCAGTACGTTGAGTGGAATCAATCCTAAGACGCTGCAGATTAACTTGCCCTTGAATGAGTTATAATTGATCTCCTGAAATTTATTCCACTTTCATTTGTCATTGAATCTTTCCATATATTTATCATTTCTCAGGCAAGAGGATTTGAAATTAAGAAGTTTTCGAACAGAACTATACAAGTGAATCCGTCTTTGGGTTTCTGGGTTTGTGGATGTTTAGACTTTAGTTTATTATTCAGTATTCATACTTTGAAATACTCGAAGTTTAATCACACCTCCGATTATCAGTTTATCTCATTTATGACTTCAGATGTGATGACGCAGTCACTTCAGTTACACAATATCGATGAGTAACGGCCAACAATTTGGTCGTAGATTGGTCTTCTTGAGAGGTGCGCACCCATTGCCCCATCAGGGATTGAGCTCACGACCCGCAAGTCACGAGGCAAACTCGCCTAGAAACAGTTCAGGATAGCTTTCCAGGACTCCCGGTTTTCGATACCTCTCTATTCGCAATGTGTTCACAGTCAGACTTAAAATTATCCAAATCAACACTTGAAAATTATTTACTGTTTGGTAAAAATGATAAATACAGATGTTACTCTCGAAGTGTACCTGTTAAGCAAGGATTTTCCACAGAAAATAAGTATATTGGTGAAACATGAACAGGCGAACGATGTAGATTCGTACTCAGTAGAAATAAAGGTGTGTTAACAATCGCAGTAGTTGAGTCGAATAACGCTGAAGCGATTGCAATTGCTAGTAGGCAGATGGTCTACATGAAGAATTGAAACATGTTCAGCAATATAAAACGAATAAGCTGGTCAAGATAAATTTTTATTTGACTAATAACATTGTTCGATAAACACTTTATAAGCTTGAAGAACTTGATTTTCTCTTGAACCGAAAATATAAATGATGATCTTCAAGTGGATTGATTTCTTTTGAAACCTGATAAAAAGCAATAAGATAAAAAAAAAGGAAGATATGCATATCATTTTGAGTTGTAGGCGCTGACAGAATTTTGAATAATTCACTAACATTTTAGCTATAAACTTGCTACTAAAAGAATGAATAGGTATTTGTTTGATTGTAGAATGTAGAATATACGATGTGAACATTAATCAGAGTGTTGACTTTGAATAAATGAATTCATAGCGTCTACATGCAGATTCATATCCTGCTACTGCTACTACTACTAATCAAGGCGCACTTCCTTAATCCTATTTAAGTGTATAAGTGCGCATGGAAAGGTATCGTCTGCAGAGAAAAAATTCAGTGTTGTTCATTCGGACTAACAAATGGATTGTCCAACAATGTGACATGTCTACTGTGAAGCACTTTGTCCTCTGTCCTTCTTTATAGCGATGAGACATAGCTTTTGGAAGTGAAAGATGTGAAAAAGTCAGTCATCTTTGACCTTCCTTTGCTGTGGGCTGTCAGTTCTACATATCGGATGATTTATTATAATCAGTAATAATGAACGATCAAAGCAGAGAGTATAATGCATATAGGGAAAGTTAGTCTATTGGGTCATTAAGCATCTTCGACTGAGATAACCAGGGCATTTGTTACTCATATTGTAACGACAAAAGACAAGAGTCAGGCAACAGATCGTTTATTAAAGAAATCAACACGTATTTATATATATTTCAGGTACATTATTATAGCTTATTCAAGCAGACAAACACAGTCTTCTGATTAGTTGTTTCTTACAAAAAGTTGACTTTGCATCTCTTTGTGACTGTTTCTTGAATGTCAGATCAACTATACGCCAAGTCTGCTGTGATTGGTTGTTGAATCAGTCTTGTTCATATTTTCTCACCACCAATATTTGCGACATACCCATTGACGTAAAATGCTGTCTACCATTTTTGGCTAGCTTGCTCTCACTACAATTTCAGGCCACTGATATCTTCAGTGAGCGATATTCAATGATGTGTGTAGGTTGGAAAAGAGTTAAGACTAGTTAGAACCAAAGCTGACAACAATCTTTCTCAATTAGCAAACTACAGATTGTCCGAATGAAATACTCCAGATTACTATGATTATTATTATTATTACTGTTCTCTTCGATCCCATGTGGAACACAGGACTTCAACACCATGTCTCCACTTTGTCACATTTTCTGTAGTCCTCCTTAGCCAAGAATCAATAGTTGAAAAGTGTCGGTGACGTTACTCGAAATCATTCTCACTGTTCATATATATATATATATATATATATATATCCACTTCATGTTATTATTCCTATTCTGAAAATTCTCATCAATCTTCGTCAAACTATTTTTTTCCAATACGTTTTTGTTTATTGTAGTTCCATCACATTCCCCTTCCTCTTATTTTGTGTCTGCTTGTCTGTCTGGATTCAACATAGAACTTGTCACCGAAGTGCAGCAGTCCGAGTTGCTACGTTCCAAATAGCACACAAAGGTAGACAAGAAGATGAGTGAAGAGAATCAATAGAGTTTGACAGGTATAAGAGTGAAACAGAATTGGTAATGGTAGAAAGAAATATGAAAGATTACAGAGACTGAATACATCTGCGCTATTGACAACGATTTTAAGCCATGTCACCTATTGTCTCCAGCCATTGATTCCTAGAGTCCCGAGGGGAGGGCCCCAACCCGGAAGTCTGCATCTCCCACCCTACCTGACTCAGTTTAACTGTCAAGGATTTCATGGATTGATGAGGCCATGTTTTTGTTTGGCCACAACTTACTCTTTTCCAACCTGCACCTATATCAGCTAGTAACGCCCGTCGGGGGGGGGCGATGGTTAGGCATGCGCAGCACGTGACTGAGCCATCTCAACCTATGTAACTTTATAGTCTCGTCGATTGATTTTCCCTCTTTGCCCAACACTCTACGCCTAACGTCAGCATTACTTACCTTATTAAACCACCCAACGTGAGAAAGAGATCGCAGACATCTATGATCGAATGCAGTCAACCTTTTCATGTCTTCAACTCGTATTGGCCATGTTTCAGAGCCATAGAGAAGGACGGAGCGAACTGCTGAGCAGTATACACGACCCTTGGTTGATAACCGGATATCATGCCTACGCCAAGGTTCGGTAGCTTGAACAATTGCATATTCATACAAATTACTCACATCAAAAGAAAATATATACCCTGGTTATAATAAAATTAGTGGAATGGCAGTGCAAAATAAATAACTACAGATTCATACAGCATTAACTACTCCAATAACCAAGATATTTTAGATCAGCTTTGAGAGTTTTGTTAAGGTAAATGGATGACAATGAATGCCTTTAGTCTGTTAGATGAATGCATGAATGACAAAAGTGTCTTCTGTACCTCACTCCAATTCACATTATACCAACTTTAGTTGTTTTCAAATATATGATAGCAACAACAAATGCAGTATATGATCTGGTACAAGTCCACTTTTTAGAAATGTTTATTCTTAAGAGAATAAATCAATATGATATTTGCACATGCATTTTAAAATTTCGGAATGTACAGTTATATAAACCTTAGGGGATCATTGACTGATGCAACCGAAACTGAAGTTCATTACTCATATGATTTATTTTTATCTGAACTAAAGGGTTTCCATTTCGTTAATTTCTTTCCATTCTGTGGTTTGTTATTTTTTTTCTTTTGTGTTCACATTTTATGCTACTTACCAGTATTAAGTAGTATGCGTTTATACTTTGTTCCTCAATAACCTAGATTGTAATTGCTATTGAAGTTTAACTGACTCAATGCATCAATACTCCATCTTACACATTGTAGTCACTTTCTTATCACGGTTAAACATTATCTGTCGTATATGCTGTATGTAAACCCTTCTCTACTGATCACTTTTTATTCGAATCCATTCGCAGGTTATTTAGTCTACACGTGGATCGCTTTTCACACAACTTTGCTGTTTTGTTTATTGACTCACACAGTGACTGTGCATTTGACGGTGTTTAACCCCACTACTTGAGGTATGTATTTTTTGTGTAGAATTTGATACCGTACTTTGGACAAACCTTGTGTCTCGGATTTTACGCGTAACCCAATATGTGGTTCAATTAGCCGATTAGATTATCGTTCAGGATTTCTTAGGAAAAAATTTACACAATTTTTCCCCTGAAATCTAAATATCCCAGTGTAATAGCTCTTTAGTTGGTCACATATCAAGCAGCTAGATATTTCGCTACATAATGTTTTGTCGGTAAATCTAGGACAATATCATGTAGTCATTTAAGTTAAATAGTCGTTGAGAAAACGAACATTTAGGGAATTTTCTTCCGTACAGCTATTCAGAGCATAATGTGACAATAATTTTGTGTAGGCTTAACTGTTAAGCATTATATCAAACATTGTTTCACCTGAAGTCGCTGAATCAAAGCTGATACAAATAAAAGTGGCTATCTGTGTAGTGTGTTTAGTCTTTCAAGTAATTACTCAGACTTCTTTCTTCTACATGCATCGGTGGTAGAGCAGTATAATGCTTGCCAACCATGAATATGGTTCAGGATTCGATCCCTGGCCGACGCACTCCTTTACCTCGCTAAGCCAGTAATAAGACTGGTAAAGGAGGAAGGTTGATCATGGGGCTGGCAACCTCATCCCTTAAAGACAAACACAACTACTAACAAAACTTCAAAGCTCTAGCTTGAGACACGATGTAACTCTGGAAACGCATAGGAGCGCAATAATAAACAACATCAATTATTCCTATACAATGTAGCTTTATTTAACTTGTACATATGGCATGTCCTCACTTATTCGGATTGTATTATTTTTTACTCAACACTTAGAAAACTACGGCAGTTAATCATACTGCAGTACCTGTGACGCATCTATGTAAAGGATAGTATGTTAAGTTTAATAAGTTTATGAGAACCCACTAATTCCATTAGAATATCGGCGGCTTATTGACCATTAAGATAGGCCTTGTTTGAGAGAATTTCTAAACATGGCCTCATAATAATTAAAACGAATCAGTCAGATCACATTGATTTTATATCAATAAAGAAGTCTAGTCTATTTATAATAACGCAATCATCTAAAGTAGTTTGTTGAACTGTAATACAAAAGTATTTAATTACTTAGACTTGAATGCCTATTATTATTAGTTTTTCTTAGAGTATTATTTGTAGTGAACCTCACTTTTCTCTTCTTAATATCCAAATGACTGACTGACTGGTTTCAACATAGAACTTTTCACAGATGTGTGTGCCACACTGCATGTAACACACAACGCAAAAGAAGAGAGTAAAGTAAGGTTCAAAAGACAGATAACAAACAGAAATGTCAGGGGAAAAGAATAGCAATATGGAAGAACAATAGAGTCTTACTGTACATGATAAATCACAAAGAGTTAATGCATCTGCACCAGCTATTGAGAATGATTCTGAACTGTATTACCACTTGTCTCCAGCCTTCATTGGTTCTTACCATTCTGAGGACCCTAAAACAGCAGTCAGGAAGTCTGTACCTGCTTATGTGGCTCAAACTGACTGTCAGAGATTTCATGGGTTGATGCCAATTTTTGGTTTGACCACCAGCTAGCTCTTTCCAAACTTATCTTATGTCAGCTAAAATCGCCCGTCGAGGAGGGTGAAGCCTAGGGTAGGCATATGTAACACATGTCCTAAGCATAGCAATCGGTGTAACTTGACACCCTCGTCAATTGATTCCCCTTTCTTGCCTAGCACTCTACTGATCCCTAACCGAAATGTTGCTCATCCTATTACACTTACCACCAAACACACACACAGCAGATAGAAAACACCGTTGAGAAGTGGGTCTTTCTTCATATGGAACAAGGCCAAGTCACATAATATACTGTAGATTATTATTATTATTTTAGATGTAGATCCTGTGCAAAAAGAAAATGTTTTGCAACTAAATAAGCTGGAAATTTCTGTACCAGGTGTTAACACATTGTCTGAGATAAAGCTTTAGTATTTATTATCTAAGGTCCTAGTAAGTAGTATTTCAACCAAGATTAATTTCAGGAATCACCAACCCAAATGATAACATTAAAACCACATAATTTCAATATATTGATGGTGAACTTACTTCGAAATCCAGATCATATGCCATCTGTTTTACATGTTCACAATAGGCTTTGACTTGTTCAGCACGAATTTCAACTATGTACCTTGGATTAAATAAATTCATATAATAAAAGATAACAAACTAGAGAGAAAAATTAAGTAAGTGGAATATTCAATTAAAATTCCTTTGAATAATCATCGCTACTATAGTTTGCAGTATCATGATAGACACTTTTGTGGACTGTTGGCTGATACATAGACAAACATAAAATTCAAAAATTAATTATTTTATCCTTTAATTCCTAGTGGAACATAGGGCTTCAGCTGCCCATCTCCGTTGTCTTCGGTTTTCTGCTAACTTTTTCACCCCGCTCCATGTCTGCCCACATGCTTTCATCTCCTCTTCACATGACCTCCTCCAGGTCACCCTCACACTGACGACCAACTCGCCGCTTCCCTTTCCGGTTCTACTCGAGCGATGGCTTGTCTAGTGATGTCACTCACTTGATGGTTTCTTTCCTCAGCGTATGGCCAATCGATCTCCATTTCTTCCTGCCTATTTGTTTCACAATTGGTTCCTGGTTTGTTTCGCTCGCTCATTGCCAGAGATTCCTGTTTCTGATCTTTTCTGGCCAACCATCTGATCTTGAGTAGTATCGAGCGAAGACAACTGTTAAGGTAGGTCTGTAGTTTGTTTGAGATGCTCTTTATGACGCGCTGGCCAAGTCTCTCATCCGTATAGTAGCAATGACTGACTTCATATTGGAGTTGAAAATCCGGATCTTATTTTTGATGCTGAGTAGTGCTGTTGTCCTCCACACAGACTTAAGACTAATGAAAGCTTGTCTTGCTTTCTCGATCCTTGCTTTGATATCCTCATCAGTCCTATCCGCCTGTAGTTGAAACGATGCTTCCCAGGTCGATAGGTAAAGGAGGTTGTTTCTTTCAGGTTCCTCCCATTTATGCTGGCTGATTGTTGTCTGTTGTTGTTGTTGCTGTTGGTGTTGGTGCCAGGAATCTTCACCTCTGTTTTCTCTATGTTCACCTGAAGTCCTATCTTCTCTGGATGCTTCTTCTGCCAGCTCATTGCTTTTCACTTGCATATCTTCCAGTTTGTGGGAAATCAGACATATATATGTCATCAGCGAAGTCCAGATCCTCCAAGTTGATTTTGTGTGAGTCCATTTTATGCCTGTTTCCTCATTGCCCGCCGTTGTCTGTCGCATTATCCAATCTACTGCAATCAGGGAGAGCATTGGCGATAGTAGACAGCCTTGCCTCACTCCCGACGTCACTTCGAAAGCTTCCGTAAGTTTCCCGTTATAGATTACATGACATGCAGCATTGTCGTATTACTATTGGATGAGATGTATAACTGTCGATGACACCCCGTAGTAGCAAAGTAGTAGATTCAAAAATCACCGCATATAATTTACTCGTCATCATTTCGGAATATTTCAAAGTGATAAAACTAATTAGTTATTTGTATAAATAAATGTCCATTCATCCAAGAAGCCAAACCAGGATGGAAAGATATGAGAAGGGTCGAACTACAAAAACCCCGAAGTAGTCCTTCATTTACTTATTAACTGTCACTCTAAATGTGGTATGCTTGAACTATTCTACTGAAATCCTTGAAATAGTATGAACCACTAATTATTCTGGACACTCAAGTGTTGGTTTGTAGGGATTTTATTGGTTTCAGGATTTCATCATGAGCTGACATTGGTTAGAGAACCATTGGAAAACCACCTGGGAGTACTGGACAGCTGTCTCGCCCTAGTTTAGGACTCTTCAGAAGTACGTACCCACCGGGATTCGAACCCAGGACCTTCTGGTTACAAGGCGAGCTCATAGACCATTCAAACACTGGGACCCCGTCCAATGGCTCATAAATTCTAACTTCTGCCAATTCACGACATAGCGCAACTCCTAGAGAATGCCTTCGGCTAGTATTTGTCCTCACACCCGACCCGCTGCACCCAACTGGTCACGACTTCCCACTGGAACTCAGGTAACTACCTACCTGAATAGGGCCAGTCGCCAGTGAGCATCTCATCGGTATTCAAGTGTTGGTTTGTAGGGATTTGATTGGTTTCAGGATTTCATGATGAGCTGACATTAGTTACTGGTGACCAGCACTGGAATTCAAGAAGCATGTTTTGTCCAGTTTGTAGCCCGTCAGTTAGATATTCCTGCTCTCCCACTGAGAGTCGAATATTGCACGCATCGTTCTAAACGCCACAGTATTATCCAATAGGCTATGACAGCCGCCCATTGTGCAACAGGTTTTTTAATTATTTTGTTTTTCAGCTAATTCCAATTTCCCGTCACCATCATACAAAATAACTTCATTTTAATCAGCAGATACTGCCAAAGCATCCCTACTAAGGGGCTGGCATGTCAACAGAGAAATACAAATTACCAGAAAAACCAAATGAATCAATAACTGATGATCCGAGAAGAAATGGCCTAAAATCTGTTACCATAATGTTCAGGGTATATTGTTATTATTGAAAAGCTTTGATGAACTTACAACACAGATTCCACAATCAATAATGCTTCATCTTCCAAGAGATCAGTGAAGGAGAACTCAGTACCTAACAAGTCACTTCCTAAACCATTTTCTTTTCTCACTTCAGTTTCATCTTTGATTGTCTGTAAATTCTCCTTTGACGTCTCAGTGTCCTGTGACTTTGCGTTCAAATTTTTGCGTTTCATTTCCCTCGAATGAAGATCAGACAACAGATGAACTAAACTATTTCCGATATAGACTATTCGGAAACGATTTATCTCTGAAGACGGAGAATCATCATCTTTGAGAAATAATGATCGATATCTTGTAGGTAAGTCTAAGAAGCTATTCAATGGAAGAAACTTCATTTTGAATGTGTTTGCGACATCTAAAGGAACTAAAATAAAAAGAATGAAACGATTGTAAAATGTTACTAAAATATAAGTCAGAAACCTTTAATCGTACTAGTGTATAGGCAGTAAATTTTAATTCAGAAGAAAGTTGTAACAATCATTTTTTTCAGAATCGGTAGTTCACTTACCATTCAGTACATAAACACAATTCATAGAGAGTAGATTGCATCGTTTTGTGTTGACTGTTGTAATAAATAAGTTTGTAGACCTACAGACACCAATTACAACGCATTATTCCTCTTATTTTATTTTGAGTGTGATAGACAAACATAGTAACATACAGACGGTGACAATTCGACTTGTCATTTTAGGCAAAACAAAAATTCCAAAACATCATTAGGTCTGTCTGTCTGTTTTCGACATAGAACTTTGCACATATGTGCGCCAGTTCAAGTCGCCACACTCCCTCCATGTAGCACACAAAGAAAGAGAAGAAAGTACAAGAAATGCATATTAGAGATAGTAAACAGAGGTGTGAGACAAAGGAATAGTAATAACGAAGAACAAAACAGTTTCATTGGAAATCATAAGTCACAAGGAGTGGATGCATCTGCGCTAGCCATTGAGAACGATTTTGAGCCATGTCTGTCACCAATTGTTCCCAGCCTTCATTGGTTTTTACCGTCCCGAGGACTCCAACCAGTCAGGAAGTCTACACCTTCCTACGTGACTGGCTTAGACTAACTGTTGTAGATTTCATTGACTGGTGAAGCCATGTTTTGGTTTGACCGCCGGTAGCTCTTTTCCAGCCTGACCCTATATCAGCTAACATTGCCCATTGTCGAGGAAGGCGATGACTAGGCAAGCATACGTAACACATGTCCTAACCATCTCAGTCGATGTAATTTCCTAGCCTCATCGACTGATTTCCCCTGCTTACCTATCACTCGATGGATGTCTAACGTGAATATTGCTCACCTTATTATACCACTTCACACGGGTGATAGAACGCAGGCACCTATGATCAAAGACAGCTAATCTTTTTAAGTCTTTCACTCTCAATGGCTAGGTCTCACTCATTAGGTGTAAATACAATATTTTTTCAAGAATTGGTTTATAGGAAATCTTTTTGTTTGAAGTTAGACCACCGATTGATATCAGTTAGAGAACCACTGAAAACCAGGGAGTATTAAGCAGCTGTTTCATCCTAGTTTGGAACTCTTCAGCAGTAGGCACCCACCAGGATTCGAACCCACGACCATCTGGTTACAAGGCAAGCTCGTATACTATTCGACCACTGAGACCTGAATAAATGGCGAGTCCACCAATTCTAGATTTTAGTGCTACCATAGATAGACCAATGACATCGATGGGCGCTCTGTCCACACTCTTGACTAGATGAACCCCGCTGGTCATGACTTCTCACTAGAACTCCAGGCAACTTCTTTCTGTAGCCAGTCACTAGCAGGCATAACTATTTTTAACCATGAACATTTCATAAGGAGCCTTAAACCAGTGAAATTTTATGACCCTGACCAATAACAGAATACAATTTAACACTCATCAAATTCACAGTTAACAGACTACATCTAAATTTTGCAAAACCTAATAATTGTTTACCGAAAGTCAGGTCACAACATCTAAGTTAGCTTTATGTTTTCATTATTTAATACTTCACACCCAACCACCATATATCTGAACACACACTTATTACTTTGAAGACATTTATAACAGGCTGATAGGCTTAAAAATAGGTGTAAGTTCTCACAGAAGTGCATCATTTCAAGTAAATGCACCCAGTAGACTACACAGAAGGATTCTTCCAGGCTGGCTTTGTGGCCGGTTTGCACCAGAAGGTCTTATTTATCGAAGTGGTAATGGTTTTAACTACAACTTTACTTAGCCATAGTGGGAGATGTTCTCGAGCTGGCACGAAAAATCAAGTTCCTAGAGCAACGGTCAATAGAACTCGCTCCACAAGCGCAGTTGAATTGGTAGATACAATTTGAAGCGGCTAATCTAGGTACTTCATCTTTCAGTCGAGGTAGCACCATCGGTCGTGTAGAGAATGATACGTGTGGTTCGGCAGCATTAAAAGTTCTTTGAACTGATTTTCTTAATTTCCTTGTAATTATCTTAGCTTGGTATATCGCCCTTGAACTGTAGTCGTATATAAAGTGGCTTCTTGTTTACAGACAGTGAGTAGTCCTTTTCCGCTTTCTTTGTTATGTGTTTCTTGATAAATTTTTCGGGATATCTATAATTTAAGTTAACACCAGTAATCCTCAGAATATATGTAACAACGTTATGCCACAAATCGACGCTGTCTACTAACTAAACCACTCTAAACTAGAAATAAGTGTCTGGTTGCTTCGCCTTAGTTTCTGACTTTTCACTATATAGTGGAATCTGACTTAAACCCTAGTAAAAAGTCCAGAGATTACTTTATTACTAGGGAAAAGTCTCTTCAATCTTGAGCATGAAAAATGATATACTCCTTTTATGTAAAGAGACTTATAACATTTAAAATCTTCAGTACACCTTAAAAGAATTGCTCCTGCTAGTGGTAAAGTGATGCTTCAGGACTGGTGTGCGGTAACTGCTAGTTTAGGACAAAAAAGAAGTGAAATGTTTGGACGTTTTGGCAACTTTACTTATTTGTGAAGTTGAGTCAACCCTGATGTACTAGTAGCTGACGAAGTGTCAACACAGATACGAAAGGCTGATTTGATTTGATGATACTAGGTTGAAGCTAAAAAATTACAACTGTTCAATGCTTCTTAATTTGAGTAGGTTTCTAATTGACGATGGTTTCACATGAAAACTAGCTTCAAACTACATGTCAACTTGTTGAAGCAAGCCTCAGGGGAATGAAGTGACTGTTAGGGAATTCGTATACTTAAACTGAAGGTGCGTGGCAATGCGTCTAGGTGTACATTAAGGGGAAATTGACACTTTATTTTCAGAAAGTAGAAGGCTTACTTTGAATCACAGACTTGTTATGAAAGTTGACAAAATGTAATGATGATAATGATAACGAATACATAACAGACAATAAATAAGGGTGATAAAATTACCAACAGTATGTTTCAACGGATGACTGCTGAAACACACACACCCTTTGTGTCCAATTCACATTCATTGACATCATTCGCAGAGAAAAGGATGGGATGGTAATGAGATCACTTTTGTGTCCATCGCTAGCGAACAGCTCTACAGCAGGCTTCTAGAATGATTCATGAGAGTCGACTATCAATAATTTTCGATCATATACAAAGCATGTGGACAGAATTATTATTTGTTATAACGAATAATCGCTAGGGGTCGCGCTATGTCGTGAATTGGCAGAAGTTACAATTCATGGGCCATTGGATCGGGTTCCAGTGGCTCAATGGTATACGAGCTCACCTTGTGACCAGAAGGTCCCGGTGAGTGCGTACTGATGAAGAGTCCCAAACTAGGACGAAGCAGCCGTCCGGTACTCCCGGGTTTTCCAATGGTTCTCTAACCAATGTCAGCTCATGATGAAATCCTGTAAACCAATCAAATCCCTACAACCCTACACTTGAATAATCGGTTTTATTACAGATATTTAATAACTGTCATAAAGGGCTAAATTCAATCTTGAAAGGGAAGACGAATCTGAAATTCTCTTTCTTGATGTTGAACTAACAAAGCAACCAAAGACACTTTAATAAGGTATGTTTATAGGAAGCCTTTATGGAAGGGTGAATTGATAAGCTTCAAAAGCTGGATGATACTTGAACGGAAACGGAATCTAATTTTATCTTCTACCACTCGTGACTGATGTATCTGCAGTCATGATGCTCTAGACGAAGAATTAGACATTCATCGAAAATGCATCTCTACCAAAAAGAGTATAAAACCGAAAATCCAGAAATATGGGACATCATTTAAACCAAAGGCAAGAAACTTTACATGTACCTGGGTTTCAAAGGGGACTTTGCATTTGATATCCTTAAGAGCAAAAAACATTCAAATTACCTGCGAACATTCTTCTCAGAAATGCTAAGAGTGGTGTTCTCCAGTAGCTTACTGCTCTTCGGAAGTCTAAAAGGCATAATCGCGTATATAACCACACTTGTGCACATATATCCCTTCACATGCTCTTGTGGAGCCAAGTGTGTTGGTTGTTCGACGCATATTCTACCTAAAAGGGTTTAAGAATAATATGTCTCATGGCTGTAAAAGGGTGGCAGTGGCTTTCTAAAGAATGCAACAAGTGAACCACCTTATCGACACTGGCCACTCTCTTCCAACAAATTCCACCTTCACAGTGATTTACAAAGTGAGTAGCCACAATTCTCTTGAACATTTTTCTCACTCTGCTGAAGTTATAAACATAAATATAGAAAAACCTGATCTCGGTATACAAAAGAGAAATCTTCATACAATTCTTCTAGTTATTAAACTTGAACAAAGCAAGAACAATGAATATATCATGATAGTGAGCCGCTTTTCTTTATTATTCTCCAGTTTCCCCTCACATATTCACAAGCTGAACAATACAAAAGCGTAAATTACATAAAAGACTTAAAGACACCTTTTAGACCATGACAAGGAGTAAATGATAGGAAAAAATTGTGAAAGAATGTAAGTTGCTAAATTACTAGGCGTTAAAAGAATTGACTATTTATAGGATCATTAGACGAATAACCTTGAGAGAGAAAAAAAGCAGAGTTCAAAAATTTCTTGGGGTAGAAATGAAGTTTGACTAGAAAGAGTGCATAAATACAATAGGTTAAGTAACTACAGAAAATATGTTCTTAAAAATAAACAAAAATATAATAAATTGAGTGAAAGTCAGATGAAACGATAAAATGTCGCATAACAGAAGTGAAGATATAGTGTGGTGAGAGCAGGCTACTAGCCAATTGGTAGACATTAATCTACGTCAATGTCTAGGTCACTAATATTGGCCGTGAGAAAGTATGAACAAGGCTGATTCAACAACCAATCATAGCAGACTTAACGTGGGCAAATAAGATTCGCAGATAGATGGCCTCACTTTCCGAGAAACCCGAAACAACCAATCAAAAGACTTTTCATAAATTTATTCCCCTTAATGAATTTGAACAAAGCAAGAACTACAGTTTTAGCAGAATAATATGGTACCATCATTTATTTCGCTGCTTACAGCCTAAATAAATTATGAGGTTTAAGTACAGACATGTTTTAACATACTTGCAAATTTTACATGTTGTCAGTTGACAGAAATTTCTTGACAGAAAAACTTAAACCTCATAATTCACTTAGGCTGTAAGCAGCTGATGAGAAGCCAACGAAATAAATGATGGTACCATATTATTCTGCTAAAACTGTAGTTCTTGCTTTGTTCAAAATCAAAAGACAGTATTTGTCTACTTGAATAAGCTATAATAATGTACATGAAATATATATAAATACGTGCTGATTTCCGTAATAAAACGATCTGTTTCCGACCCTTGTCTTCTGTTGTTACAATAGGAGAATGCATGGCATAACCAAAAATTTTTATAACTTTATTTTGTAAGTCTAATCATCAGGGCTGTGCAAGATTCACCACTATTGTCTCTCTTATATTTTTGTGCACACGGATTTGTTTTTAACCTTTAGACAGCAATCGCCTCAACCACTTCTACTATTTGTTACAGGATTTCATCACGAGCTGGCATCAGTTAGAGAACCATTGGAAAACCTGCAGGGAGCACTGGACAGCTATTTCGTCCTATTTTGGGAATCTTCATCAGTACGCACCCACCGCGTGGATTCGAACCCAGGACCTTCTGGTTACAAGGCGAGCTAGCTCGTATACCATAAAGCCACTGGCAGCCGATCTAATGGCCCATGAATTCTAACCTCTGCCAATTCACGACATAGCGCGACTGCTAGCCAATGTCTTCAACGAGTAATTATTCTGACCTGCTACTATTATTTTCAACAAATGGATTTTTTACTGTCCTCATTTTTTGAGTCTTACTAAAACTCACGCAATACCTTATTTACTTTATTTGGACGTGCATCCTGATTACAAATCATTCTTTATATGATCTATCTCATTACTTAACTCTATCACCCTTATTCAACTTCTCTTATGTATTGATTAACACACTCCTCTTCTGCATAAAAATGAGAAAGAAAATAAATATACTGAAAAATATCTCATCGCTGAACAACTTGTTTCGTTTCTCACTGATGAAGATTACTCATGTATTTATTACAATTCATGTTATTCAATGATAAATTGAAAGGTGTGTAATTTATTTGCGCAACACATTTCGGAGGCCCTGATCACACACATACACAGTTATACAGAAGGCGAGAAAGCATGAATCATTAGAATACACGTCGGATTGTGAGCAGGTCAAGTTCACAAATAATGGGTAGGAAGATGATGCAAGAAGAAAAAACAAAGAAGGGGTTCAGAATATTATGAAGTAGATATGATAGAGAAGATTTGTAGCTCAGGTGGATAATTTTGATGTGGTTTTGTTCTCTGAGCTGGATGGTTAGTTTGCGAAGCTTTCACCCAGTAAGGCGATGAAAGCTTCGCAAACTAACCATCCAGCTCAGAGAACAAAACCACATCAAAAAAATATTATGAAGTAGATTGAACCATGGTTTCGAAATGGATTACCAAGGCAGGTTTAGAGTAATAACAAATAACTTCTGAACGTATAAGACAGATTTACATATTTTTATGGCCATTGCTTCAACGAATTTAAGTATGTAACCCAACCTTCTTTTCTATATGGCGAAAATATTCATTCACACATCTATATAACACAAAATAATTGAGCCAAGAATATCCTTTTCGATGAATTGCTCCTCTGTCTCTAAAATAATATATATATATATGCTTATATACATAGAATATTCTAGATTAGTAGTCAATAACAATATTAGTGTTTCTTAAATAATATCGATTTGTAAAGTAAGATCAATGCAATTATAGTTCATTAAAGATGCTTAAATTATAATAATAACAAAGATATAATAGCAAATAGACTATCAACTAAAATTAGGGAAATTCCATAAAATTCAGGATCATTCAAACCTAGATAGCCAAGGTAAGGATAATGTCTGAACTAACTTCTTTGGGATGCACAAATTAGGCTTGTTAATATGGATTCCCACAGCCAGTTTCAACAATATTTGGTAGTCGAACTGTTAAGGCAAAATTGAGATTCGTTGGTATGCGGTAAATGACCCTGAAAGCATGGTTAACATCAATCTTGTGTTCTGTATCCACAAGATGAGATAGAACAGCGCTGCATTGATCTTACTTTACAAATCAATATTATTTAAGAAACACTAGTATTGTTATTGACTACTAGTCTAGAATATTCTATGTATATAAACATATATACGTCGGCGGCACAGTGGTTGGTACTCTCGCCGACCATGTACATGGTCTGAAGTTCGAGCCTCTGCTGACGCCCGCCTGATGTCTATGGTTGGCCTGCAAAATTTGGGCTGCCGATATCCATTCTGAAAATTCCAAACTTGTACCAAAATACAGTATGAAATCAAGCTGTAGTCATATATATATATATATATATATATATATATATATATATATATATATATATATATATATATATATATATATATATATATATATATATATATATATATATATATATATATAATTGTAAAGACAGAAAAGGAATTCATCGAAAAGGATTTCTGGGCTCAATTATTTTGTGTTTTATATAGGGGTTTAAAGGTATTATTATGCTTCGCTATAAATGATGTTAGACATCTATTTCCGGAATTAAAAGTATCCGGCGATTTTATTTGTTGTTGCAGCCACTTTGGAATATGTTCTATGGCCCTAACCCGTAGGGCTTGACCTGCTCACAATCCGACGTGTATTCTAATGATTCATGCTTTCTCGCCTTCTGTATACCTGTGTATGATAAGTATGTGTGTGATCAGGGCGTTCGAAATGTGTTGCGTGAATGCATTACACGTTTCAGATAAACTACATCTTCTATTGTGTTGTCAAAATTCATAAGGGGAACTATTTGCTTTAAAATTGAAAAGATTTCTAGCAGCAGTAATTATAAATCACTTCTTTCCTAATAATTAAAAATCTGACTTAACCTCTTGTCTTCCAGAAGTAAACATTTATCTACTTTCTATACACACCAACTAATGCAATATAAAAGGATTTTATATATGAATGAGTTCAGGGGTCATTGTATACACGTCCCCAACTTATAAAAATGACTACAAAACAAGAAAAAGTTTAAATTAATTTGTGAAAAGGACCATTTTCGGTGACCTACAGCGGATAACACTGGGACTGTTCATCAGTACGTACACGGTGGGATTCGAATCCATCTAGCCACTGGAACCCAATGCATTAGCCCATGATTCTGGTGTGACCACCAGCCAATCTCATGATTGGCGAGTATTTGTCCTTAAATCCGTACGAACTAAGTGTTGAAAATTCAGCTAATGCTCTCTAGTGACTGACTAAAGGATGAAGTTGCCTGGAGTTCTTGTGAGAAGTGGTGACCAGTGAGGGGGATCCATCAGGTCAGGCGTGATATCAGCTCATGATCAAACTTAAAACTTTTAAGTAGTAGAGCTGAAGAGAGAGAGGTTTCATATAGTCACTCTGAGTTCCCCAAACGTAACATTAAAAGCCGGCATTATGTACCAGTAATCATTAAAGTTGACTTACTATACTCAATATCTTCAAATTTTGCTTCAAATGAATTGCTGTAGGTTTGGCTTGATTTTTCAGCCCCTGTAATTGTTAACTCTCCTTCTTCTGATTCTTTGGCTATAATAATTTGACAAAACGAATATATATGACTGAACTAGTCAAATGTAAGTGAGAACTTTTTTTCAAGTAACTGATTTCCTAACCAATTGAAAGCTTAGAAGAGGATATCTCATGTTCGTATAAAAATGTGATGAAAGCGTCAACAGAGGAAGTAAAAGTAACAAATGATAATTACTTTGACTTCACAGTTACTTTACTTAATACTGCTGGTTTTAATCTTCTTCTGAGTCTAATCATTGTGACTATATTTACCTATGTAATGACAATTGATTCTGACTTCTAACATTAGCCTTGATAGTAAGCATATACAAATACAATAGACTGTCAAGGAGTTGTCCCAATTCTACAAAATCACTTCTTGACTTGACTATATTACAGAAGAAAATGACTCATTAAACGACCCTGTAATGCACACTGATATTTAACAACAGTAAATGCAGGCTTTGGATTTGTGTGAATGATATCATCTTCCTACGTCTATTGGCCAAAAACTTCCCAGTATCATACGTTAGCTTTGTCCGAAAAACTGATTTATTTATAGAACAGTTACACATTAGAAATCAGTTGATAGAAAACCACGTTTAACCTCAATTTTTTTGTTTACTGACGCTTGTCAGTAAGGCATATGTTTCACACCTTGAAGAAGTATACATTTCCCCTGAGATTTAAAATACGGTTAGAGACTGACTAACCAGCTAAGCTATTCAAGTTACAATTATATACTAAATGTCGCTTAGCACTGCCAATCGATAAATTTCAACTGGTACATTGAACTTGGAAGTTGACATTATTGTTTGAAAACCAATTTCTCTATTTGTTAAACAGATAACAAATTGTGTTACACATTTCCTTCGATTATCATCCACTCTTTATGGGGAAGAGTTAAAAAGTGACAAGAAAAATCTAAAGATAGATGCTTGACCACGTAATCTTTTTAAACCTGATAAAATATTACTACCAGAAAAATGAATAATTTCACTATGGACTGTAAGATTACCGACTTCTAACCGAGTTTTAGCATATTTTCTATCTTGCTCACATGAAAAATAATATACTAGTTCAAAATGGAGGTAAAGAAGGAATTATAAAACCACCATGAAGACATAATTTTCTATGATTATGTGAATTTCTGGAAACTGTTTATAGTTACTCGGTTAATCTCACCTCTAATTAATGCAAGTTTTATTACAAAGTGATGATTACCATTAAAATCAGAGTGTGATTTACACTATTTGTTTAGGGGACTTGACACCACTGATCACTCTTTAGTGACCAAACTGCGTATCAGTCTTATTCACACAGAAGGTCAACCGTAAACCCAAACAGCTCAGTAGTAATGCAACTTACGGCAGCAGTGAGTGTGCATAAATCGTTGGAGATACATCAGTTCCTCTGAGGTTAGAGATGCACCTTGTAAACGAGTGCCAACAAGGATAAAACATGGCTTTAGAGCTTTCTGATGATTCTTCCATATATCTAAGGCATATATATATGTATATTTCAGTACTAAGTCTTCAGTGTAAGCTATAAGACTAGCAAATAGCCTTATTCACCTAAACGTAAACTCCTCTCTTTCTATTTACTTTATTTCATTTTTAGCGTCCACGAAGTCTTTGACTGTTCGTTCGAGAAATATAAGGGTGCAAACTGCCTGGTTAAGGTCTCAATGACGTTAAGAACTAATAGATAGAGACTTTCGGTGATAAGGCTTAAAGTCCTTCTGAACGGTACACATTCATTAGCTCGCTTTAATCTCTCAGATCCACTGAATTCCCATTAATCTCTGTGTAATTATTCTTTTATTGCCCTTCTCTGCTTATTATGTATTGTGAATTTCGTTTTTCTGTACCTTCATGTGTGTTTTGTGAAGCGAGAAAACTTGAATTATTTCACTTTTTTCAAAGTATTATGCTGAAAATTCAGTTTAACTCAGTTTAAAAAAGTTTTATATAACTCACACTTTGCATCTCCATTAATTAACTTGTCCGTTGTCTGTGTACTAATGAATTCATTATTATTAGCTAAAGAATTATCCTGTTGACATTCATATTTTTCACCTGGAACCTGTCCATCATCTTCAGTAGTTGATGTCTCCAAGAAAGGTGCAGCAATAGAAATTGGACATTGTTGTTGATTCAACAACTGCCAAAATATTTTACGTATATTTACTTCAGATATTGTTGTTGCAGAATATGCATGTTTTCCATTTACACGACGACTTAATTCAGGGTATTCAGATGTATCGATTCCAAATGATAAATATGGTGAACAGATTATATCACCCCAGTAACCCCAATAAACCCCTTTGTCGCCAGCAGAATTTTTAAACACTCTTCCAGATGCTAAACTCCTGTTGATAGTGTTGTAATTAGTTTCTCGAAGTTCAAATGCATTCCCATGGTGACGCCAATGTGCATATTCTCTAGAATTAATCTGAGTAGCCTTTGGAAAAATAAAACATATATGTCTTTAATAATTAATTTCTTGCAAGCTCCTAAATGTACTGCACTAACATTAAGAACAACGGTGAAACATTAGTGAAATATAGATGCTCGATAAAGTTAGACTGAATAGCTTCTGAACAACATATTGCTATGAGTCATTACTAACCTGTAAGGCAGTACATAAACGTCGGTGAATGAAATACTACCATTGATTTACTAAGGCTTAATCTCTTCATTAGGCAACTATCAAGACTGATTTGTGATCGACAGTAGGATTATTAAGTCACATGGATATTAAGTCACTAATTGGGATAAAATTTAATGAACCACCTTCTTTCACTTTTTCAGTTAAGCTGTTTTCATCAAACTCTTCCTTATACTGAGTGAATATAAAATCAATGAGCGCAAATATCACATGGCAAAAAAGCCTATACAATTCAAACGTGCATCAAAATTACGGTATTGGTAAAATGTTGGTTTGTTATTTACATCAAGCAACCAACTTTTAAAAGAATACTTCATTGCAACGAATTTCATTACATACCACTAAGCAAACTGCAGTTAAAAGTCAAAATAACGGTAAAGTTCCACATAAAGGTGAATATTTATCTATTTTAATACAACAATTAATTCACTCTTGAAAATAAACTCTTGATTCATTTCAGTGCGTGTCAGTGGAATCAAATACGTTACGGGAAAAATGCTTTTGTGATTTTCCTCTCTACAATATTTGCACTTTGAATCAATTAAGTTGTGATCTTAACTATGTATAAAACTGAAATATCTGATGAAAAGAAAAGCATTCTCAGGTAGTGTGTATGGAATAAATGGTAAATTCATCTCATCTTCCAAAACCAAGCAAAACGAACAGATACGCACTCATGATTAGATGCTTGAAATAATTCTTTCCTTCGTAAGTATATACTTCTTAAGTAATAATGTCAAAAGAATTCAACTTGAGGGAACTTACCTTGCGATCATGTAACGTAATACTACAGTCCCAATCGAAAACATTTGGAATAGCATCATATCGCGTGCCAAGATGCTTCCTCAGACGGAAGTCCCTAAAAGAGATTTTAAAATTTACTTTAAACATATATGTGTCAGTAACGCCCTATGACAAGTGAGTGAGAAAATTTAAATTTAAAAGAGATTTCAAAATGTGAGAAATTTTAAAATTTCAAATTCATTAAAATGCATAAACTTCAGCTAAAGCTATGAGGCCAAAACTTTCCGGACTCCAACAAATCAAAAAGAATTTTTTTTTAATGACCAACTGACTGACTTATCAACATAAACCTTTACAAAAAGATTCTGTAGATCAAGAAAAGCTCCCCTAGAAGAGTATGGACAAGGAGTATAAATCAAACACCAATGGAAAGAACTAAAATGGACGAAGAATAATTAAGTAAATAATAGTCATATACAAACCCATGATACTAGCAAAACAAACAGGACTTTATAAGTTAATGAATACACATCCAAAACACCAGTTTGTGCCAACTAACTCAGTTCATTCAACAAAATGAAACCCCCAATAGTGCAACAGATGGACGAAAACACAGATATACAAGGCATATATTAGTAAAGCGGAGGAGAACCAGAAAGAACTAAGTGTTCCATAATCCATGGAAATGAAATGTGAACATGTGAGTTTCCAAACAGTCAGCAAGTTTCTAAACAATTATCGGATAAGGCCAATGTTATCATTTTTAGATACACATTTTCTCTTATCGTTTAAATGTTTTCACAGATGCTCACCACCAAATGCATTCAACGGTCAAGACGTGTGTGAGGCAATAGCAATTTAATGATCAAAGCAGCTTCACTTAGGAAATAGTTATGTCATTTAAAACAATTGGTTAATTCACTAGAAAGTTAACTCAAGTATTCACTTTTTAAATAGGCAAGTAACGTACCAACATTTAGATGCATCAAATTTCGTTCCTTCCCTGCCACGCCAAAATTTAAGTACAGATTCCAACATATCCCGCTCCTTGAATTTTAAGTGAAATACATCGATAAATGTCAAAGACAAATGGCCATCTAGATTAGTTGTCATTCTGAAGCAGTGTAATTAATAGGGATGTGAATAACCTTATCAGCTTGTCAGCAACATGTGTCAAATATTTTGATGAAATATCTCGGACCATTATATTACCATATAATTCTAAATATATTTCCGACTTTTCTTCAGAATTAGAATAAAAATTCACACTTACCCTGGAGGCTTAATCTTTTATTCGGTTCAAGGGCAATATACAGTTGAAGCATCTGCCTAGCATAAGCTTCAATTAATGGCTCGATCAAATAAAACTACGATTACTATTGCCAAATTAAAGAACGAAATTACCGTTTTAAATCCCACTGGCTTTTTCAAATCCGCAGAAATACTTTTCACTATGTGCCTTGAATCCCCCATCCCAATACAAAGTAGACTATAACCTGTATTAATGTCTCAATGAAGGTAACACTTTCGTTAAGCTTACTATCATGTAAGTCCTGTTCATTGGATAGAAACTCGCTGAGACAAGAGCGAAAATTTATTGCAGGTGATAAGCCCCACCAGACAACATTCCCCAAAGAATCTGTAGTGTTTGCTGTCATGGCAACAGGATTGTTATGCCATTCAGTTTGCCGCTCCTACAATTCCATATCGTCCAATATCCAATATACTGATTACGAGCTAGTATAAACCAGTGATTTCTTTGAGCTCGCTTCTTGATTGTGAGGTAGAGATTCCAGATCTTTGGTGAGCTTCTGCGTAGTAAGTCCCGACACTCGACTGCTTTAGCTCTGGTAGACTCCAGGAGGAGTGGTGCGGGGATTGGTCGAGATGTGGTTTGTAGTATGCAGTATGTTAGGACTGTATTGCTGCCGTGAATGGAGTTTGACCTAACTCCCGTTGGTCATTCGGTGTAGTCATAAAAGCAGAATAGTAATAATAATAATAGGTTGTAGTGTAGATAATATAGGTTGAGATAAGTGGAATAATAAAGGTGACCTAAGGAAAAGATAGAGTGAGAGAAGGCAGAATAGGTCGTGGGGATTTAGTTTGTACGCTTATTCATTGACAGTGTGGTTTCAAATTTTATGAGGATAAGCCATTGAGACACAAACCTTGCATTTCTGCATGATTGTCTAGCTTCCGCTTAAAAATCTCCAGAGATGGCGCTGTAGTCACGGCCGCCGGTAAAGCGTTCCAGAGACGGCAAACACGAAGCGAAAAGAAATGTGATCGCACTCGAGTCTTTGGTCTCTGGTGTGCTATCCTTAGCGGGTTACCTCGTGGAAGCCTATAGTCACTTAATGGCAGGATGCTTTTATTTGGGTGGGCCTGGTCATTTAGGATTTGGTAGACGGTGATGAGGTCTCCCCTGTGCCTTCGGTAACTAAGTGTGAAAAGACCTAATTTCTTTAGTCGTTCCTCATATGATTTGTTGCGGAGGCCGATCACCCATTTTGTCGCTCGTCTCTGGACACTTTCTAGAATGTTAGCATCCCTTTTGAGTAGCGGAGGTGCAATGATATTATGCACCTCAAGGTGTGGCCTCACATATGCCTTGTATAGCCTTAAGAACAGTTCGGGAGTGAGAGCTCCCAGCTGCCTATGCATAAAGTGTAATGTTGCGTAGGCTTTGGCGACGTCCCTCGAGTAATTTCCACTGGTGTCTAGCTTTTCTGTTAGAATAAGACCTAGATCTCGCTCTGATGGAACACAACTCAAGTTCTGGCCACCAAGGGTGTAATTTACACTCTGTGACCTGCCCGAATGAAGTTGCACTACTTTGCACTTCTTTAGATTGAAAGGCATTCCGTTAGCCAGAGCCCAGTTTCCCAGAGTTTGCAGGTCAGCCTGCAATCTGTCTGAGTCTTCCGATGAGTTTATTGCTCTCCAAATCTTTACGTCGTCAGCGTAAAGAAGCGCAGAGCAGTTTAGTTGAGAGGGTAGGTCGTTGATAAAAATCAAAAACATCAACGGCCCTAGGATAGAACCCTGAGGAACCCCTGATGCCGAGGTGTGCCAGGATGATCGGATGCGGTTGACTTTGGTGCAGAATTCTCTCTCACCTAGGTAATCTTTCAGCCATGCGAGAAGTGCTCCAGAAACTCCCGCCTTGCCTATTTTGTGAAGGAGCAGACCATGGTGAACTGTGTCGAATGCTTTCGCAAAGTCGAGAAAGATCACGTGGGCTGGTACCTTTTTGTCTCAGGATAGTGTCCAATCGTTCCAGGCTAGTAGAAGATTCGTCACGCAGGATCTTCCCCTCCTGAAACCGTGCTGTGCTTCGTGAAGAAGGTTAGTCCCATCGAAGTATTTTCTCATGTGGTCGTCAATGAGACTTTCCAATATCTTCGATATCACTGGAAGTAGAGCAACTGGTCTGTAACTGGTCACATTCTGCCGGTCACCACCCTTGAAGATAGGGGATAGGATTGCACGTTTCCATTCACATGGAAGTTTCCCTACATCAAAGGAGTGTTGGAACAGATCACTTAGGGGTTGACAGAGACTTTCTGAACACTGCTTCAGGACAGATGGTCTGATGTCATCACAACCTGAAGACTTTCCCGAAGCCAACTTTCCCAATTTTGCAAGTACCGTAGCCGGGGTAATTTGAAATGTACCCAGCAGGTTTTAGCGTGTTGGTTTTGAGATGTATTCTGGGTGTTCTCTGGGGGTAATATCCTCGTTACTGTTTAGTTGCCCGTGAAAGGCTAGGCTGAATGTCTCTGCCATTTCAAGACTAGTAAGAGATTTCCCATCAGAACTCACTAGATTGCATGCTCCCTGGTTGGTCGGTTTTCTTTCGGACATAAACCTGTATAGGCTTTTGGGGTTCACGAGAAGCTTATTGGCGAGGTTTCCCTGAAATGTCCTTCTATCCCTCCGGACTCGTATGTTACATCGATTCCTGAGTTCAAGGTACAGTTCATGTTCGGGTTGACTCTTCGATCGTCGCCACGCAAACCAGGCTTTTCGCTTCGCCTGCAGTAGGCGTCGTGTCCCCCTTTTTAGCCATGATCGTTGCTTCCTAGCTTTTTGTGTGACTAAAGGAACAGTGTCTGAGACCGCCTGGTGAATGATCTCATTTACCACTCTCCAGTGTTCTTCAACTGTGGACATTTCAAATTACCCCGGCTACGGTACTTGCAAAATTGGGAAAGTTGGCTTCGGGAAAGTCTTCAGGTTGTGATGACATCAGACCATCTGTCCTGAAGCAGTGTTCAGAAAGTCTCTGTCAACCCCTAAGTGATCTGTTCCAACACTCCTTTGATGTAGGGAAACTTCCATGTGAATGGAAACGTGCAATCCTATCCCCTATCTTCAAGGGTGGTGACCGGCAGAATGTGACCAGTTACAGACCAGTTGCTCTACTTCCAGTGATATCGAAGATATTGGAAAGTCTCATTGACGACCACATGAGAAAATACTTCGATGGGACTAACCTTCTTCACGAAGCACAGCACGGTTTCAGGAGGGGAAGATCCTGCGTGACGAATCTTCTACTAGCCTGGAACGATTGGACACTATCGTGAGACAAAAAGGTACCAGCCCACGTGATCTTTCTCGACTTTGCGAAAGCATTCGACACAGTTCACCATGGTCTGCTCCTTCACAAAATAGGCAAGGCGGGAGTTTCTGGAGCACTTCTCGCATGGCTGAAAGATTACCTAGGTGAGAGAGAATTCTGCACCAAAGTCAATTGCATCCGATCATCCTGGCACACCTCGGCATCAGGGGTTCCTCAGGGTTCTATCCTAGGGCCGTTGATGTTTTTGATTTTTATCAACGACCTACCCTCTCAACTGAACTGCTCTGAGTTTCTTTACGCTGACGACGTAAAGATTTGGAGAGCAATAAACTCATCGGAAGACTCAGACAGATTGCAGGCTGACCTGCAAACTCTGGGAAACTGGGCTCTGGCTAACGGAATGCCTTTCAATCTAAAGAAGTGCAAAGTAGTGCAACTTCATTCGGGCAGGTCACAGAATGTAAATTACACCCTTGGTGGCCAGAACTTGAGTTGTGTTCCATCAGAGCGAGATCTAGGTCTTATTCTAACAGAAAAGCTAGACACCAGTGGAAATTACTCGAGGGACGTCGCCAAAGCCTACGCAACATTACACTTTATGCATAGGCAGCTGGGAGCTCTCACACCCGAACTGTTCTTAAGGCTATACAAGGCATATGTGAGGCCACACCTTGAGGTGCATAATATCATTGCACCTCCGCTACTCAAAAGGGATGCTAACATTCTAGAAAGTGTCCAGAGACGAGCGACAAAATGGGTGATCGGCCTCCGCAACAAATCATACGAGGAACGACTAAAGAAATTAGGTCTTTTCACACTTAGTTACCGAAGGCACAGGGGAGACCTCATCACCGTCTACCAAATCCTAAATGACCAGGCCCATCCAAATAAAAGCATCCTGCCATTAAGTGACTATAGGCTTCCACGAGGTAACCCGCTAAGGATAGCACACCAGAGACCAAAGACTCGAGTGCGATCACATTTCTTTTCGCTTCGTGTTTGCCGTCTCTGGAACGCTTTACCGGCGGCCGTGACTACAGCGCCATCTCTGGAGATTTTTAAGCGGAAGCTAGACAATCATGCAGAAATGCAAGGTTTGTGTCTCAATGGCTTATCCTCATAAAATTTGAAACCACACTGTCAATGAATAAGCGTACAAACTAAATCCCCACGACCTATTCTGCCTTCTCTCACTCTATCTTTTCCTTAGGTCACCTTTATTATTCCACTTATCTCAACCTATATTATCTACACTACAACCTATTATTATTATTACTATTCTGCTTTTATGACTACACCGAATGACCAACGGGAGTTAGGTCAAACTCCATTCACGGCAGCAATACAGTCCTAACATACTGCATACTACAAACCACATCTCGACCAATCCCCGCACCACTCCTCCTGGAGTCTACCAGAGCTAAAGCAGTCGAGTGTCGGGACTTACTACGCAGAAGCTCACCAAAGATCTGAAATCTCTACCTCACAATCAAGAAGCGAGCTCAAAGAAATCACTGGTTTATACTAGCTCGTAATCAGGATATTGGATTTTGGATATTGAACTGCTAGCTCTGTCCATTTTTTAAGCCAATTTTCTTCAGACGTATGTCTTCGCATTTTGGTGTAGTTGGCTTTGTTGTAACACAGATAGGGCTGTGTATTGTCCCACAGTAAGCGCTCGCGGAGGACTATGTCGAATACTATAGCCGCTTGGTCGCTACTCTTTATGGGAGTCATGATCTGATCGTTATCCACTAGTAGCTGGTCACTAGTGAGCGCGTAATCCAGTCTAGAAGACTTCCCATCAGGGCCCATCTAGTATCCATCTTGACATTTTCAGTGAATCCAGCCTTCCTGATGGTATGCAGCAGATTTCGATCAAATCTATCATGGGCTTTTCCCGACACCAAGTTACGAGATGGGGCATTGAAGTCACCAGCTATGACAATTTGATCATAACCCATGTCTTCGGTTGCTGAGATTGTATTTAGCAGTAGCTGGTTGTGGTCTGCTCCACATGAAGGCGATCGATGAATGCTGCCCACTAGATATTTGCAGTACCCAACGGTGGAGTGGCGCCATATGGATTCAGG